ACACACACACACACACACACACACACACACACACACACACACACACACAGCTCTAATCTTCAAAGTTCTACATCAGCACTGACAAGACTAAAGAGATCAAGAAGTCTGCTCAACATCTTGTTCAAGTTTCAGAGATTTTTTCAGTCAGGGTTTTTGTAAAATCCTAACAGAAAGTCTCCCTCTGGCTCACCACCTTTTTAACTTGTTTGAAATTCAACAGACTCCCTTGTCATCAGCCTGTCCAAATTCTCTCGTGGCCAACTCTCCTTTCCCTGGCAGCCTGTATCAAATAAGTCCTTGATGCTGGAAAAAAAAAAAGAAAAAGCCAGAATTTGCAGTGTTTATGTGATATTTTTGCCTTCAGTCATTCAAAAAGTTGTGGATTTTTAATTACTATCATATCTATTGTTACCAGTTTGAATGTTTTTCCTTAGAGCTCATTTAATTTCTTTTTCAAGGACTTTCAAATCTCTTCTCCACACTTTTTTTTATTAACTTCGTGTTTAGGAGATTCAGGCTTCAGGTCGTCTCTTTGAGCAGCGTGACGTTAGGAAGTCCGTTGGGAAGAAAAATGGTTGGCTAAATGCTTAATGTGAAATTTATATGAAATATTTTGCCTTAGGTGTATAATTTAGTGCAAGTTGTTAAATTCAAAGTCACAGCTTAGTGTGAACTAACTATAAACCGCACTTGTCTGGACTCAGTGGTTGACACAGTTACATTTGAGCTCAAAGTGAAACCTCTGTTAGTTAATGTAAAAAACAATTGCAGCTCATTCACATGGCACAGATGATAGATAATTTATGTTTCATAATTCAAATGTTGCATCAAGTTTAGTATATTTTACTACAAAGAAACCGTACATGTTTCTACTTTTTGCAGTTGTCATATATATATTAAGTTTTTTAACTTTGTCTTTGACTGTCTCACACAGAGCTCCCTGGTCCTCCCAGCCATGTGTCCTTACTGGTAACCAGCACATCCTCTCTTTGTGTATTGATCAAAGAGCCAGAGGGAAACACCACGGGGCTCATCACTCGTTACAGAGGTAGGTTGGTTCGAATGGGAATAACTTGTAAATGATAGATAGTAGGCTTGGGCGGTATGATGGTATTTTGTTATAYCGAAAATACGGTGAAGGTATTTAAGAATTATGATGGTATGAGTCACATGAGGTGACGCACCAAATTTCCACAGGGCTGCTCTGAAAACCGTGACATAAACATTCTAGGATCTTTCAGAAGACATAACATATCTGACGTGTGTTCTGACCACCTCAGCTCATTTAGAAGACAAACGGAGGAGGAAGCGAGGTTAACAATAGAAAACTATCTCTGAGTGAGTTAGTAACCGTGTTTCCATCAATGTTTTTAATACGCTTTTTTTGAAGTATCAAATCAGAAAAGGTGATTAGAAATGGCTTGATTTGAAAAAACTTCCTCTAATTCGCATAAAAGTCGATACAACCGCTTGAGGTGGCTTTTGGGTTTTTCGAAAATGTTAATGCGCAAAAGKAGAGATGGAAACACATTTGCCGAATAAGTTCTGACGTAGCGAACATTTACCTCACAAAGCTGATCAGCTGTTCCCCGGTTTTGGCTCGGYTGCACCCRCGAATGGCAGCAGGACCCTCCTCCTGCTGTCGGTGTATTCTCTGTATTCCAGTAACGTGAAGAGAATTGCATTTCTTTCTCTACGTCTCCAGACAGCATGTAACATCGCCAAAACTAGTTGAAATGACAGAATAAGTGCAACTTTCCCAATAGTAGCAACGCGTTCCTGATTACTTCCCTCCATGGTCCTGAGATGTGTGGACCCTGCGAGTTTGCAACTTTTACTTCCTGTTTACTACACATATGCATCTGACGTAACTGATTCACTTCAAGCCAGTTGGTGGAAACACGTCTGATTCGCATTTCTTCGTTTTTTTTCCTTTTTGCGAAATTTTAAAAATTCGCTCAAAATTCGAATTAAAATTGGATGAAGACACATTTAGTGACACGCTACTCTCTGGT